AGAAAATACTGTAGAGTTTTCAGATTCCACAATTCATGAGACACTGTGGAGTCAAGGGAAGTAGAAAGAGGCGTGGATTTCCTTCTGGGGTTTAGAGGGGTTGCTTCCCAAAGTGCTTTGGTATCTACCAGAAGATCTTCTATAGGTGAACACAAGTTGGTAATCAACTAAGTACGACTCTTTTCTAGTTATACTGGGAAGTTGCGGAAGTATACATTAGAGTACTGCTATGCTTCTACACAAAAACATGTAAATATGCTGTTTATAATAACAAATTAATAACAAATTATATGTACATGCTTATTTCGAAAAGTAGAAGCTGAAGAGACATTTCTCAAGCTTTGTGTTTGGACAGGCTAATTCCACATAGTTTAACACTGAGGCATATTTTAAAACCACATGAGCCAAAGTGAAAACAACAGAAAGAAAATATACTTCTTTCTATACATCTAAGCAATTTTACTAGCATTTGAGCATATTTTTATAAAAATTCCCCTATTACTTTCACTGGCACCAACTCTTACCACAGATTGTGTTAATAACGTAGCAAGTGACTGAAACTTGAAAAAAACCTCAGTGGTGCAGACGAGATTTTTGTCTAAAGTGGAAATGTCACGATTATAGATTTGCCCTAATTGTGTTTAACTAGTGAAAACTCTACAGTTTGGGAAGCCTGCATGGTGGCTTTACCTTATGAAAATGAGGTTTAGGAGATATTTAGAAAGATGCTAGGCCAATATTAAATTATCAAGCAGTAAAGAAATACAGTCTAAGTGTTTCTTCTGGTTTCACAATGTCTGCTGTCTAATCTAAAGTATCTATATCGATGCCAGTCAGATTCTGTTATTTTGGCCTAACTTTGAAGGATCACCTAGTGTTCTTGGATTTCTCTAAGTAAAATTAAAATAATAGCTGTTTGTCACAGCTTTGGAGAAGAAAGACTTGCAGATAACCATCTGACTTTTTGGGGGCAAAGATCAGTGAACTATTTTTTTTTCCCCCCAGGATCTTTAAGACAACAGGAGTTGTGTGTGTATGCACAGGTATATTTCTGTGATGCCAGTGACTACTTTGGGCACCTTCTAACAGCTCCTTCGATAGTTTCTTGTCTCTTTATTGGCAGCATTAACTTTTAGTTGTGTGGAGTTTTTTTGTTTTTTAAAAATTGTATCATGATATGGTGCTTAAGAAGTATGTGTCTTTCTCAGTGGGACCTTAAGCTTATCGCTAGAGTCTCGAAACTATACTATGTGTATTGACACCATGCTTTTCTAGAGCAAAGGCGCTTGATTACATCTCAGTAGTACAGCAATTGATAAATCTTAATGTGTTCTGTGAGAAATAAGTTTCTTTATCCTAGATGCCGTCCCTCTTTTGTTGTTGTTGGTTTTTGTTTTCTGTAGCAATTGGAAAAGGTTTTCATTGTAGCCCTGGTACTATTGTGGACTGCATTAGGAATGTTGTTTGTTATCTGTTACCAAACTGCTGTATTTTCATGCAAGAGTCTCACTAAAATTCTTTATTCAGAGAATTAGGACAGTCATGTTTGATATTCTGATTACTTTTTTTTTTCCCTTTCGTCACCACTTGAATACTGAGCATGCTTGCAGAGAAAGGAATTAGAGTTAGTAGATGAAATTCTTCCTTTGAGTTCACGGTTCTAGCTCATGCTGCTTCTTCAAAAAATATGAAGCCTCTTGATGTTTAATGCATTAAATTTTCCTACCTCCATGCATTGTTACTTTTTTTCCCCTCTCTGCTTGATTTTGCTGCCTAGATTTTTCCATCTTTTTGTCTGGATGGGATTATGACTCAATTAACTAAACACTTTGGCAATAGTGCATTGACTGAAGCGCTACTAAGCAGTGGAATGGCTTATGGAGATGCATATAGAGAATGAAGTTTGGGAGACTATTAGGGTCTAATTGATCTGATGTTTGGAGTGCTAAAGGGTAGTGATATCTTAAGAAATCTGTTCTCTTCTGAATTTAGGACATTCTTCTACTTATAGATAAGCATCTTATGTCTTTGGTTTTCAAATTGCAAATATAAAAAAAAAATCGAAGGCAGTTAAGATAACTGAAGGAAAAACCCAAGGGCAACAACAACTCACAATACTTCCAAGCGAAAAATCAGTCACTACCTCAATAGCATGTGAAAAATACGGATGGATACTACAGTGCTAATGTTTCTTAAGCAGTCAGCGTCTTTGGCCAATGCAGAGCTGACCTCTGTATTGTGCCTGTATGCTTGTGCAACTTGGTAATCAATAGCACAGACAGGGATCTAGCTGAAAAATTCCTCAACCAAAATAAGTTAGTATTTTTTAGATCTGGATCTGTTACTTTGGATCACTGTAATAGCCTTACTAAGACATAGCGTAAGAGGAAGTTGGTAGTGACTAGTTAAATAAATTGCATTTACAACTCGGAAGTTTTGTTTGAGCTTTGCTCTGTTCCCTTTTGACATCTGCATCCAGTCTGTAGAAGAGCAGTATGTTGTTCTTTTGCCATACATAGTTTTTATCCTTTTATCCTAGTATGCCTGTTTAGAAATGATTTGCTAATGAGCAAGTATTGTAATGAGTCTTATTACAGATACATGTAATAGCAATTGCATTTTCTAGAGGGGTCGGTTAGAGGAAATGTACTGGTTGGGAAGTGATGAATGGTTAAGTATGTAACGCATTTTTAGCACGCATTTTTCACCATGTTGAGGATGCTTTGTGTTATTTTTCTTACAAGTTAATTGATTTTCAAAATTGAACTGGAAAGCCATTATAAAGGATAAGAAATTGTTGTAACAGATTTCCCTAGGAACAGTAGGCTACAGCATGATGTACTTACTTTTCCTCTCTGCCATCTAGCATATGTTTTTATTTTGAAAGCTGTTGCATTGCTAAATTACAAATCTATATCGAAAAATCGGATGAATCGTCTAGTTTTGGTCTATGATGTGTTTACTTAAGTGTTCACTTGTCACTAAGATGAGCACCCTTGAAAGTTATCGAACTGATCAGATCACTCAATCCCTGATCCACCTGTTTAGGAATATTTGAAGTGAGGAATCCAAACTGGTGAAACACTATAAAAATAACAGTGTATTTGTACTGTGTACACAGAATATACAGGCTCATCAGACCTGAGCTCTGTTAACACCATCTAGGCCATAATGGAGGACAAAGAGGAGGTGCCACCCAGCAGTCATATTGGTGGAGTAGTCAAATCCAGATTATTATATTTAGTATTCAATTTATTTGTGTTTTATTTTTGTTGTGTAACTTGCATGCTGTTTAGATCAAGCAGGACAAGTTAATCAGAATTCAGAGAAGTATACTTTCACCTGAGGGTGATATAGGTGAACGATGATTTATAACAGTTATGCTAGCTTGAGACCTTTAAGACATTGAAGGGGCTGTTTCTGGGTTTAGCTATCTAATGTCTATATCCAGACCTCCTTTTGTTAGGATTTTGGAGTAGACATTATCATCTCTTCTGCTTTCCTCATGGTGTCCTTTCTCTACGCATTAGTAATTAAAGATAACTGTTGCTCACCCCCACTCAGCACTGTCCAGAGACAGCATTCAGCCCTTGAACTATTATTTATATTTGATGCTGTCCTAGTATGGAAATTTTTTTAGAATTGTCTGTCCTTTGGTAGGGGGAAAAATGCTCAAATTCCATAAACCTGAGGTGTTGCTTTAAAGTTTATCTGTGTATCTTTGTCAGCTGATCTGATTGTTACTACTGTTATTTATTGATTTATTGCACTTACGGTGCTTTAAATAGAATGTAATTCTTTTTGCACTGTCTAGGAAAGGTCCAAATAGACCAATGAGGCAACGAATTGTTAAGAGAGAACCCAAGAAAACATCTGTTACTTTTTTTTTTTTTTTAAACCTACTGTGGTACCCAGCTGTTGCTGCCCACATCTTATCTGAATAGATTTATATATATATAAGTGGAAGTAAATTTCTGGAGGTTCAAATATTTAGACTGACTAATTTGAGGCAGGGCTTCCTGTTACCTAACATAGAGGGGCCTCAGGTCCCTAAATACTATGTCAAAATTTGGTTTTAATATAAAAAGTGACTATATACCAAGTATAATGAATAATTTCGTCAGACTTTTGTGGCCAGAGAGATTCTTTAGATCTGTTCTGTGAGAAGAGGCATCCTATTTTAATAGGCTTATGGATAAAGGCCTAATTTACGTAATAGACCTCCAAAATATTTTTGAACTCTTTAAAAACTCTGTAAAGGCTCAATTTTGTTTAGAGTATGCCAAAGCCTACCATGTAAACTTCAAAGGTTTTTGAATTGCGTGACTTGCACAAAAATGAGTGTTTTGTAAGGTGAAACATTTGAAAACTTGTTGCATTTAGCCCAGTGCATTACATATTTATTTTTTAAACATGTAACTTTCTAGGTGTTTCCCTTAAAACTGAGTTTAGAAGTAGCAGGTTTTAGTATTTATAAGTACAGCTGTGCAGCTTTTGCTGGTAGCTAATAAGCGAACATCTCCTTAATATTTTGTAATGCTATGCTAATTTTATAAGCAACTGATATTTTAGTGGGTCTTAGGACTTTTTCCAGAGACCTCTGGGGCAAAAGTAAGTGTGTGTTTGTTTGTTTAGTCCTGTACTTCTAGTGGCAGTCAAATTGAAATATCAGACTTCCAGAATATTGCTGTAAGCTGAGGCAGTATTTCCCCTTTTACAACTGGTGACTGAAAGCACGGCGTGCCTGACTTGTTAAAGTCAACAGGGGAGGTCACGGCATATCTGGAAACAGAAATTGATCTATTTGATTTCAAATTGAGTGAAACAACCACTGAAAATACTTATTTTGCTTTTCTTCAGTTTTTCAACAACACTTAATTTATTGGATGAACTAGAGTGGGGAATAGGACATTTGTGCAGTTCAGATGAAGTTAACTTTTGAAATTATGATAATGTACTTAAATCCTAACAAAATTATATTCTTTCCTATCCTTCTTTAGCGCTGTGTGGTGCTGCGTTTTTTGAAGTTCCCCCCAAACCAGAATAAGGTAAGACACAACATGAACTAACGCTGAAAGCTTACAGGTAAGCTAATGATGGCCAGTCTGAGGAGAAATCTGAAGCCTGCGGAAGTACTTTGATATGAGTAAGAGTAAGAGGATGTTTTCAAATGTGCCTTATGTTTCAGGAGTTTCGGCAACAGGAGGAAATTTCAGGTTGTCTTTTATAGCTAAAATTATGTAATTACTGGTATCAAGACCTTTGTATAGGACAAATAATAAGACTGAAATACGTTTGTAGAAGGTACAACTTTCTACAAGGATAGCTGTAGCAAGAGAAAGAGTTAATTCTGCATGTCAGTGTAGGTGACTGCAGGGATGCTCAGGAAGAAATGAGAGAGAGTTTTATTGACTGTTGTTAGGCAAGACAGAAAAGGAAAAACACAGAACTGACATCATGATAAAGGTCTTATGTTGACTACTTAGCAGCTAGAAAACTGTGGAATTTTTGGACAAAGATAGGAAGTATTCAGAGAATAGTGTCAGTGAATGACTTTAGTATCTTATCTGTTACGAAAAGAATATGACAGGTCATGGTCTTAGTTTCTTGGGCTGTGGCAAAATAATTTTTTGGCTTGAGAAGCAAGTGAAACCTTAGAGTCTCTGTCTTAGTTACCTTTGTTAAGTCTTAGTTACCTTAGATTTCCTTTAATGGGGAAAATGATCGAGAGTCAAAGATGGAGGGTAAAAGGGATTGTGAAATGTCAGCACACAGTACTCTAAGGAGAAAAAAAAAATCCAAGAGAGCAAAAGGGGGACGAGGCTCATATTCTACAATTTCCTTAAGCTAATGAGTAGTCTTTAGGGCATGTTACCTGAGAGATACAGGAAATGATCTGAGTTATGGCTGCTACTGAAAGATGGCTTTGTAAGGGTTCAGTGGCATACTGTTCTGGTGAGAAGGAAATATAAAAAGTACTGTGGCTGTATTGAGAGCTGGGGAGGGGAGGAGGTGATTTGAGGAAAGAGAAACCAGGATGCTTGTAAAGTAAACATGGAGTGAAACATATGGGATGGGATTTTTGCATTAAGTCAAGAAGATTAATACAAAACATGTTGCGTGTTCAACAAGGGAAATAAAAGCAAAAATAGATCAGAGGAAAGCAAAGGGAGGTAAAAAACGTGCACACAGTATAGTGGTGAGTTATTTCGTGGTCTTTCTGCTGCTGTTTTACTTGGAAAAAAATTGAAGTAAAACTAAAGTGTGGCTCAAGTTGAAGTTTTAGATCTGCTTATTGTGGCAGGATTTGAAAAACGTATCTTATGCTTCTGTAGCAGTCTAAGATAATATAATGCTTAGCATTCTTATGAGAACAGGGAAGGACCAAGTGGACTGAAAGAAAGGAGTACAGCACCTATCTCAGATTTTAATACAGCATGGGAGAATTAGACCACATGGTCTCACTACAATTAAAAAAAAAGTAGTAGTACATTATTAGCCTATAAGTATCCAGGAAATGACACCCAGTCAACTCAAGGTAGTTGGACTGAGGTCGTCATACTTTTTGGCAAGGCATTTAGCTTAGTAGAGAAAGGAGAAGGTTACAGATATGATGTGTTTTAACTTTAGAAGGACTTGTGGCATTGTCCCAAATCGTGTTCATATAAACAAGCTAAGTAATACAGCATTGATGTAATCTCCGTCAGGTGGATGTGCATCTGACTTTGAAAAGCCCTGAGAGGCTAACAAAGATAGACTCTGAAATTTGGAGGTCATTTTGTGTTAAATCCCCAAAGCTGTCTGTCCTCCAGAAGACTTTATTCTACTGATATTAATAATTGGGTCACAGAGTAGAACAAGCAGCACCAAGCTGGAGAAGGGAGGACTGCACGCAGGTTGCTCAGTCTGCAAGATGGAGTGAATAACTGGAACCTTGGTCTGAGATCAGTTAGGCAAAATTCTGTGAAGCTAAGTGGGAAGTGTTGATCGATCGGTGAGCTGTTAATTACTTGCGTGAAATGAAGAAGGGAACACAAATATTCATAAACAAAATAGGAAATGACTGGCTCGCCAGTAAACAGCTTAAAGGATTTGAGAATTATGGTGAACTACAAAACATTTGAGAAAATGAAAGGCAAAACAGATGCAAATATCATTTTTGGGATGAATTGGTGGAATTGTAAGCTGTTAGAGAGAATGAGTGGTTTCACACTGAATATTGTGTTAAGTTTCGGTTAATCCACTGTAAGTAGGAGAGCGATAAATGGAAAACAGTCTAGAGGAGAAGAGTGATAATGAAGAGATTTAAGAAACAGAAAGAAATGTTGAAAAAATTGAGTGATTTAATCCTGGAAGAGAGAAACTTGAGGAGATACGAATCTTGCAGTAGTACATAGAAACTTGTTACCATGACGGTCTTAAGTGTTTGTCCCTCAAATTTCCTGAAGAAAATGGTTTTGTTTCCTTCTTAGGATATTTTTGGTTAGCTATTAGATAAAACTGTAATGGTTCCATGGTAAAACAGTGGAATAGATTATCTGTAAAGATTATAACATTTTATTTGTTACAGGTTTTCAGAGCGATGAAAGAAAATCCAATTGGGACATACTTTTTCATTCTAGAAGTTCTCATATCAAAATACTCTTTTGCAAGTGCCTTGATAAAATGCAGGCATAACTTATCCATGCTTCTGCAGAAATAGTAGAGCTAGTATATCTTAAGAAAACGATTTCATTAGGGAATTGCAGCGAATGAAATGCTAATCATTTACAACCAAGTATTTTGTCATTTGGAAATACATTTGGTTTAAAATCTGAAACACGAGGAAGCATCAGTTGATGTAAAGTTGACTTCTGAGTTGCTGTGTGAATTAACATAAGCTTACCTTTATGTTTTCCAGGAAAGATGTGTTTTTAATTACTATACAGAATGCTTTTCAAGCTTGAGAGTTTCTTAAGCAGCATAGTAATATGCTGAATAACTTAATATTTTCCAGCTTTCAAATATCTTTCCGGTAAAGCAAGCACTAAGTTATCACTTCTTTTGGTATGGCTTATTGTAACAGTAGGCAATAACTGATATTGAGACATGTTTCTAACATAAATGTTTAATAATGCACGATCACTTTTCTCTTTCCTGATAAGCGTTTCCTGGTGAGTATCCATTTAACATTTAAATAAAGATGAAAGCAATAATGGCTGCAGTGATTGTCTTAGTTTCCTGCTTTTTTGAATCCACAAATTCTGGTATCCTTGAAGCGTGGAAGACAAATCTACTGTCAGGATTTTGTGAAGGAAGGTAATGCACTTAGCTATTTTAGTCCCTTCTGAGTAAATTTACTCTGCCTCATTAGTACAATACAGTGCTTGTCTTCAGTGGACTTAAAAAGGGCTTTTCTAGGTGTAACATGTTAGTGTTTCATAGCTAAATTGTTTTTCTTGCTCTGCTTCATAAAGGTACCTCTAAATGTAACTTTATTCTAGTTATAGAATAATTATTGAGCAGGTAAAGCTTAGTCCTTGTTCCAAGGAGCTGCTGTTTTTCCCTGCCTTTCTAAATAAAGAAGTGTAATCCTGTATTTTGATCCCTGTCCCTCCGCCCGCCACACACACTGTTGTTGTTTTGTTACATGAGGCTTTCCTCTTAATATTTTGGTCTGAAGGTCCATTCCTCCATCAAATGACAAATACTTCTGCTGTTGTATGGAAGTACTTAAATGCTGTTATTATCCTGATGAGCTGAGGAGTGGGATGGTATCTTTGTCAGCCACATGTGTACGTTCGGGGTACATGAAGGCAACCTCTTAGGTTGTTGGCAGAATGTATTGGGAAATGTGAGGCTTTTCTAGAATAATATTTGAAGCTGCTTAACTGATCGTGTTGGCATAGAATTCTTGCCAAGATGTTTTATTTTCTCAAAGCTTTAAGAAGGCGTAGGCAAGATGCCCTAGTTTAAATTAACTTGTCAATTTAGATAAAATACATAATGTCTTTGACATAGTATAGCTTCTCATTATGTTAGAGGATGTTGGTTGCTATAATGTAGTCGCTTTTCCAGAGTGATCTTGGCAGCTTTTTGAGAGTGGTCCTTGGAATTTCATAACAATGAAAAATCACCTTTTGACCAGCATTTTGATTCTGAAAATAAGAGTTTAATCTTACTTTAGTAGGAAAGGCTATTACTACTACTACTAGTAGTAGTAATAATCTAATTCAGTTTTGATATTTTTTTCAAGTAGGGGGGAGAAATCGGATTGTTGTATAGAGGAAGTATTGCTAGTATTATTCCTACCCTTAGCGGTGCAAAGCTGATGAGATGCACAAATCTCTAAAATTTCTCTGATAAAGGAAAATAGGGGATGTTAGTACTTCCAGTATATTCGGGATCTGTTTGCAGCCTCACAGGATGTGAGGCATACCTATTCTAAAAAATGCTAAAAGCATAAAGTTCTTTAAACAGTTTTTCTTGCTTTCTCCCGTTCCTGCAGCAGTTTCCTACTCGCTGAACCTTTTAAAACATTTCTGAATGTGTAAGTCTTAAGTACTTTGACTTTGGCAAGCATGTTGCAATTTTGAATAGCTATTTCATTTTATTTCCTATTGTTATACTCCTCCATATACACCTATTTGCATGCCTAAGTCTTTTCCAGGTGGCCACTGACATTCTCATTTCTGTGTCTCCTGGCAGGTATCAGAGCTTACATCTTTGTTCTGCACACTTGCTCTTTTCCCCCAGGTGCAGAACCCTTACAAGGGTGGAGAAAAGCTTTCATCATACTTCCTGCATATTGCAGTATTGTTCTGCACTGGTAGGGTTGTTTTCTGGAAATTAGTTCAAAAGGCTTAAATTCTTCCCTTTCCATGGTACCAATAGTGAACAGACAAGTAACTGTCTCTTGAATGAATGTTGATGAGTGTGCCATGCTTAGGCAGTGACTTCGTGTTTAATGAAAACAATTGCTAAAAAAATTAAGTTCTAACAGGAAGCCTGCAGCTTTACAACTTGCTTGCAGACCTTAAAATATGATGATTTTTACCCCTTCATTGTTCACTCTGGAAACAGACCTAGTGATTTACTTGTTCCACTCTTTATCTGTAATAGAGATTATTGCTTACGCTCAATTGTTTTATCAATGGTGTAAGAGAAGGTGTGTTTTCATCATCTCAGTACTGTGATAAAGTGAACTCATTAGGGGAGAGAATTCAAATTTAGTTGATTATACCTAATGAGCTCTTGAAATGACCAGACAGTTGAAAATCTGAAAGAGTTTTGTCAAGCCAGCAAACGCTTACCTGTTTTTCACGTTTTAGTTGTTGCGTAGAATGAAATTTAACATCTCACGTCTTAGCGTACTTACAAATTTAATTTCCAGTTAAGCACTACTGGTCATTATCAAGTTTAAATAAAAAACTGTCTATTGCTCTTTCTTTAAAAAACAAAAGAAAACACTGAGTACTAGCTTTTTTTTTGCCTCTTTTTTTTTTTTTTTTTTGGTCTGAAGTCATGTTGCATAATAATCCTTATACAAAATGGCATCATGTGAAGAAGTAGCAAAGGAAGACAGGAAGTAATTTTTCACTATTAGCTAGAATACAGAGTTCCAGTTGAGAATACTTCAGTAAGTTTCTTTGCGCGTATAATTTTTTTGGACTGGGATAGTGATACACAACAAAAATGCCTTGGGTGTGGTGATCTGGTACTATATGAACATTGCTCAGATTCTTGATTGTTTTTTTTTCTCCCCTGCGTAATCAGATGAGTAAAATCACTCAGAATTCTAGCAAGGACAGCAATATATCATGATAGTTATTCCTAGAGGCTGGGTCTGTTTAAGCATCAAAAGTTTGGTTTTTAGAAGATGTTAGCAACGCTCCCATTCAAACTTGCCCCAGACAGACATGCTTTTCTTACCACTGTAACCACAAAATGGTAATTTCTGGATGTACACAATTATGTAATGTAGCTCTGAAAGTGTTTAAATTGTGGCTCTGTAAGTTCATGTTACTAAAGCTAGATCGGCAATGTACGCTGCCTCAGGAAGCCCTGCTGTTGAATGTAAAACATTTGAATGTTACATTTGAACAGAACTGACTTGCAGCTGACTTCATAACTCTCTGTTTACCTAGTACTGTGATTATCTGGACATTGCGATTTACAAATCCTTTTATCATTGCTTTTTAAATAGGAGGTTATATGATTTGAATATTCTGCTGATTGTAATTTTTTAATTTATATTTATTTATTTTAGAAGATCAGTTTTTCTTTCAGCAGAACTGAGGAGCAAATAATTTATCCTTAGATCTGTAAACAACTCCTGGAGAATCAGAGTTTTGGACCAAACTTGTACATAGCAATTTGACAGCTATAGAGAGAATGTTTTTTAGGTGTAATTGGTATTCCTAACTAGTGCAAGATGAATTAGGGTATAAAGTGTCATATTTCTAGGCATGAAATTGTAGCTTCATCAAATGTAAGTGGCTCTGACAGAAGCAGTTCAAGGCAAATACTCTCTAATAAGAGGCATACTAAAATTCCTATCTGGACAGGTGTGTCTCAGTCTTTTAAAACTGCTTCTGCTTAACTCTTTTGGAAAAGGGAAGAAAGTTCAGATGTGACCTTACATTGATTTCTAGTAATATTAATACATACTGATTGCTTATGAATTTGGGACCTGATGTTCTAGTAGAATAAACATGGCAATGTCCTCACAAACCTATTCTTACAGTGAGGTATTTGTAATAAAAAATACTAGTAATGAAATGAATGCAACTCTGGGGCTTGCATTTCTTGAGTGAATATTAATGTCAGGACTTGTGGAATGATTGCCTATCACCAATTTTGGTATATTTGAGTCTTCTGCATGAATGAGTTCTTTGCCCTTTTCAGTCTTTGCATAGATTCAAGTTGAATCTCATTGGCTAGAACCTATTTGATGTGTTTGGTGTTTTACTAAATGAACTGGCAGCAGTGATGGGTTCTTCAAAACCTTTTTACCTTTTTAATGTTAAAAGGTGATGCTCCAGCAGTCTGTTAATATTGTTTATTGTTCGGAATATCAAAGGTACTTGCTCTTAAAAGGAGGTCAGCAAGTGTCATAAGCTTGATCTGCAACCTAAAAGTGGTACTGATCTGTTGAACTGGTGAGTCTTTTCCTTGTAGTAGTAGTAGTAGTAGTAGTAGTAGTAGTGAGTGCCGTAGTTTTCAGAGATGCTTATTTGATTCCCAGGATGAAAAAAAAAAAGTCTGCAAGTCCTGTGTGCATCAGCAAATGAGGTCAGAGTAATCTGTAAATGGGAAGTAGCTGAAAATTCTGTTATTGTACAAGACGAAGTAATATTCCTGCTCAATGTTTGGAATTTGTATACCCTAAAGAAAGGGTTGTGTTGCCATAAAAAGGGAGGAAGTCTGTATGTAAACTGAAGGTTTTGCTGTAATATTTACTTAGAATAATAGTTCCTCGCCTCATAAAGTGAGGAAGGTATTTTTGGTGTTTATAGACATTTTAAATTGCTGCCTTTTTTCTTTCCCCCTCTCCAAAGGAACTACTTGTTCCCCAGACTGGGATAAATTAAATGCAAGGGAAAACCTCTATAGCATGCTTGTAGTCTGCTCAGGGTGAGAGCAGAGGGGACAGGAACACGCCATTTCCCCAGTGGTGTCCTCCTCTGCCTTTTGGTGGGGAGGAGGGAAGGAACCTGGACTTAACAGCAGTCCTCTGTGATGGATCTAGGTGTGTTCGGCACTACTGATGGAAGCGCTGGCCTTCCTGCAAAGCACAGATTGAACAAATTGAACAACACTGCTTTAAAATATCCTGTTCCATGCTCATTTAGGTGGCCTTGTTGCCTATTAATTACTTTCTCTTAAACATCCTCTTTAGACCAAACAACTGCAATTGGGAAAGTTATTCAGGGATCATACTTTGTATTTTCTTCTAAGACTTGAGCAATGGAAGATTGCCTTTCTGAAGAGATTGCTGCAAACGTATTTTGGTTCTCTCAAAAAGATGCAAGGAGAGCGATCCTGAAAAACAACTCCGTCTACAACATGCCAAACATTTTAAAGAATAAGTGCTGTTCTGGCCTTTATAGAATGATAGAAGTGCTGTGAAAGTGCTTTGGAAAATGTGTACTTTTCCTACAAGCTCCAAAGGTTTGGGTTTTTTGGTTCATGCACTGCATACTGAACCAGCAGAGAAATAACTTATTTTTCTGTAACGCACTATTGCATATTGCTGTTTCAGTCTGGAAAATGAATCTAACTAGATGAAGAATATTAAATGTAGCACGCAGCCTCGGAAAGCCTGCTTTACAGTAACTAATCTGTTTTTAGTCCTAGACAACTTGTGTAAGATGAGAAATACCTACTTATTATAAAAGAAAAAAAAAAGTTGTTAGTAAACTTGCCTAGTTAGTGACAATCTCCTTTTTACCTCTTAACACATTTAATTTTTTGGATGTGGTCTTTTCTTCTGTCTCTGCTCTTAGTCATTATCTGAGTGTTTTGCTCCTGGCGTTTTGTTTTCTCACACTCTGTTCTGCAGTGTTATTTATTTTCTTATTTTCTCTCCTGCTCCTGCTTTTTCCTCTCTTAAGTTTCCAGCTTGGACATCAGTGTTAGGCTTTCTCTTTCTCCACTGTTACATAATCCTAAGAGTAAACCTTACTTGGTTTGGTGCTATATTGTACAGTGGTACACAAAATAGCATTTTCCTGGAAAAGCTTTGTATTACAAAAGGACACAGGAAAAGAACTTGGAGATTGACTATAGTAACAATAAAACTCGGTGCAGAGAACCAGAGTATGCTGGAGTACTGGCAATAGAACAATATTATTGTAAAGCTTTTTCCGCGTGGGCACTCTAATATCTCTTTAATAAGCATAAGTCTGCCATAGTGACACTGCACTACTGTGGCTGTCCTGCCTCTTGCTCTTATTTAGCTTCATATTTGTCTAGCCTGGCGTTTTTATCTTGTAGAAGATCTTTGGTGTTTCTTTATATGCACATAACGCATGGGAAAAAACCACAGAAGATAATAAAAGTTTTCATTGTCTGGGGCAATATTCAGGACAGATGGCAAATTCTGTACCTGTTCATGCAGAGATCTGTGATGTGGCTTGGTCTTTTTGACCTTTGGCAGGACTGTATCTGTTTCTCCAGATGAAGTACTTCATAACATTCAGAGCATCTCCTGCACTTAAACCTGTTGGTAAGAAAGCATGCAGTGTATCTATTTTGATCATTGTCGATCTCTTACCTGTTTGAAGACTAATGGTCAGAGACAGAATCAATCTTGGCCAATCTCACTCTCTTCCACTGTTTTTGTTATCTCTGTTCTTGCCTTTTTTGTTGTTTCTCCCTCCCCCCCCAAACTTAAGAATAAAAATAATCTCTTCTGACTGCTTTCCTGGTCATCTCAACCTGTCCAACAGCCATAGGGAGGTATGCATACCACAAGTTTAGTGTATCCTTTTAATTTCAACGTATACTTACTTACTAAACTCTGTATAGCAATTAGGGTACTTTGCCAAATCATTGACAAGTATGTGTACGTATTTCCAAGTGTTGTGTATCATTATGTCATAGCTAAATTACCATGTTTTTTTTCTTTCAGACATCAGAAGAAATACTACACCATCTGCAAAACATCGTAGATTTTGGAAAACATGTCATGAAGCAGTTCTTCGGGGAGAATTACGTTCATCATGGGGTGAATGTTTTATCCTTAAAATAAGTGGCTTATGCGTTGTAAACATTGTGTTTTGAGGAACGCTAGATGCCAGGCAAAAGCAATTAGTAGGGTTTGCAGATCTTCCTAAGCAAGCTACACAAACAAGAAGCATTCAGTTCAGAACAAAGATCCTGCTCTGTGCTGATGAGGTGATTGGGCTGTACTCTGTGGTTTGAGCTATTTCAAGCTACTGGTGAAAAAAGTGGTAATTTCTTTTCTCTGTATGTCGTGAAAGGTGGAAGACAGGGATGTTTTGAGGCTGATTTTTTGAAGGAGAGAGAAGCCTGGTTCCACTGAATTATCCAGACTTCTGTGCAGTCGAAGGATAACTTTTTTCTTGCTGCTCGCTCTGTTCTTCAGGAGGGCTACATCTAATTAATTGAACATCAGATGCTTGAGTGGAAAAGTGACAACTTTTTTTGGAGCTTGAGCCATAAAATTCTACCGTGGGGTGGGGGAGGAAAACTGTTCTCATTTTTGAAAAAGACAAAATGATGCAAGTTTTTTTCATGCACATTAAACCCATTTTGAAAATACTCTTTTTTTAATCTTTATTTAATTTAAATGGTGTAAATCTAATGGCTAGTCATAGAGAAGCTGCTGAGCATGTAACTTGGTATGCTGTTGTTAATATCTGCTGAATTGTGGTATTCCATCTTAAGACCACCAAATTAAGCTTTTTGTTGAAAAAAAATTTCAACAATTTCAATTTCTTTTTTTTTTTTCTTTTAAGGAAATTGTTCAACTGCCTTTAGACTTCATCAGACAGCTGTGTTTAAAGATTCAGCCAGAGAGGCCAGGTAAGTTCAGCAATAGCATTAAAAAGGTGGCCTTCCTCAAGCTGTAAAACATTCTGCTAAATTATAAAGTAAAAAAAAAAAAAAAAAGGAATCCTACCTCAAAATCTGAGCAAACTTCTTTCAATATGAAGCCCATAATAACTTGAAAATGGCTTTATTGTAGAAAAATGGATGTGTTATAAAATTGAAAGTTGTATCCAGTATTAGTTTCATCAAACTGAGGAAAGGGAACCTCCCTAAGCTTCATTTGTTAATTCTTTAACGGGCTTTTTTATCTTGCTCTAAAGCCCTTTACAAACATTGGTGAGGGAAGTAGAACATGTGTCTTAAAATATTCTGCTTGTTTTGTTTCCATCAGAATTTATCCTGGACAAATTAGCAGAGCTTTGGAAGGAAGATATTTTCAGAAACTCCAAACCAAATTCTAAGTCGTGTTTTCAGTGTTAGTCTTTCACTTGGGGCTAAGCACTTCCTGTCTGATGAGTGGGAATGTTAGTCACAGCACTTAACTGCATGCAACTTGCATTCCAGCTTCTCATGTCTCTTTTCTTGATGCCTGGTGTATCTTGTTACAAGGGGTTGCTGTATTATAGGCTGTAGCTAAATGGGCATCTTTGGGGTGTGAGGCTCTGCTTGATTTCTCCGAACCATTACATGGTGCTCTGGGGTCCCTAACCAGCAGTAACATGCCAGTACTCCTTTCTACTTCCCTTGACAGGATGGGGACATGGAAAGGGATGATGGTAGAAGAGGTATAGCTGTGTTGGCTTTTGAAGTCTTTGGAAACATGCTGCCAGGACTCAGTAGTTCGGAAGCTTCTGACGCACTCAGCGTAAAATAAAGCGGTATAGAAATTGGTGTAGTCGGTCAGCTCTTTCACTCAGAAACTCAGGTTTCAGTCTCAAGTGTGTTCCTTTTAAAAGTCTGTGGGAGTCAGCAGTTTTGTTTCCAAAATGGAGAAAGTAGGCAACCCTTGAGTACATCATTCTTCACATATGGGTAAAAGTACATCAAGGTGTAAGCTTTAAAACGGGAAAACAAAAGATGTCCCTCTCATGCGTTCTTCTTATGTTCTTAAATGTTCTTGAGAAGGTTCAGAAACTTTTGCTTTATCTTTTGCTTTAGCAGAGTTCCTTGAAGAATAATGTGGTATTAAATTCTTTGGCTAAGTGCAGCCAGTACTTTGATGCCTTTGATCTAGGGCAGAATTAACTTACATAAGGTAAGGGCAGTAGACTCTACTGCTGACTTGTCCTCACGTCTTCGAGAAACAGTTTCACAGTGCCAGAAACTGGCAAGGAAAGTAGATACTGTGTCCAGTAAGAATTACAAAAAAGAGTGGTAAAGTGGTAGAAATGAATGACAGAATTTAGTTTTATTTCTTAAAGGTGAATTTTCTGTGTCTCCATCTCCCGGACGTTTCTTTCGAGGAAGAAATGAAGTAGTGAGGAGCTGTCCGAGTGGTATTTCTTGCTTTACAACAGCAAGTTCATTTTTAATGGCAATCTTTTAAAGGAAATTCTTTCCTTGAGGTTTTATTTAAAGCCTCTTTTTCCTTGAGGTTTCACAAAGCCTGTCTAACTTAAGAAGGCGCTTATAATACTTCAGCTCTACGGCTCCCTCTTACTTGGCATATGTGGTTTTCTGCTGATGGATGTATTTTTGAGGCAGTATAAAAATGGACAAAAAGACCTAGCCTGTTTGTTTGTTTGTTATTCCAAGTTGTGGACTTGTGAGCGGGGGGTAGGCTAACTCCTCTTCCTTTTCTGTCCCTTTTCACCTGTTTAGTATTTTGATGTAAATACTGGCATGCCTATGAAGAGTCTAGTTCTTGCTGAGAAGTGGTTATGCAGCTGATAGTTTCTTATCAGTGTTCTTTTTAGTGCAGCGCATCTTGATCTCAGACCTTTGGCAAACGTTTTAAAACTTGAAGAAGTGCTATAAACAGACTACTGGAGCTAAGCCACTTGCAGATTCTGCTTAGTTTTACAGCTCCTTCTAGACTCCTAGATCTCAATATTGTGAGACCAATTTACGGTATTTTGGCCCATTTTCACAGACTTCTGGTGACTAAGACTGATGGATCATAGTCACTACATGCAATTTTAGTAAGCAAACATGAGATGACTTCTCTGCATATGTTAATAAATCTCTTCACCTATTCTTGACCAATTGAATACACTCCTTTGCTGTTTCAGACCTCTCACTGATACCTTTGTTAAGATGAGCTGGAAACTGTGGCCATTAAAGCAGCTCTTGAAGCGCTCTATGTGCTTGAGAACTGTGAAGAAAATGGAAAACCAGTGTTGCTGGGGTGGGGTGGGGAAATAATTGGATAAAGATTACCCTGCCTTTCTTAGGACTTTTTTTCCAGCTAGGGAACAAGATAGCCACCGAGTGAAATAAACATGGACACACTTCTGCCCCCCTCCCCCCCGCCCTTGTTGTTTCTCTCCTCCAGAGTCTCGCTGCGATAAAGACATGGACGCTCTTAGCGGTTATGCAATGTGCCTTCCTAATCTTACCAGGCTGCAGACCTATCGTTTTGCGGAACATCGGCCAATCCTCTGCATAGAGATTAAGGTATCAAATAGGAGAAGATCCTTCTGGTTTTTTGGTTAGAAATTTTTAAGTATGGACTGACCAAAGCAGTTTTGAATAAATGCAGCAATGGGATAAAGCAACGCTCATCACTTTCACTGTTACCCATAGGATGACATCCACTCTTCTCCCCCCATTCCTAATCTTTACAAGTTTGGGAAATTTCCAAGTATTAGTAGGTTTTCTTGTAGGCCACAGTGGTACCTACACACATTGTAAGGATACAATAATGTATCCTTATCTTTTTAAATGAGGGCTCTAACATAACTGGGAAAAATATATAGTGAGATAATATGAAGATTATTGAATATTGGATGTTCACTGATAATCTTTTTTTCAGTTTAACTGGAAAGATTTGCATATTGTGTGCCCTTATATGTAAATAGATACATTTATATTTGCAATCTCTCTTTTTTTTTTGGTAGCCAAAGTGTGGCTTCATTCCTTTCTCCAGCCATGTTTCACAGGAGATAAAGCACAAGGTGTGTCGTTATTGTATGCATCAGCATTTAAAGGTAACTATTTTTTTTTTGTGGTCAGCCTGCTTTCCTTTGACTGTATTGTGTTTTATTTGCTCTTAGAGTCTTGCTTTCCTGTTGAAAGTTGCATATTGTTGCTTAAATCTCTGATATGACTAAAGAGAGCGAGTGGTTACACACCTGAGTTGCTGGGTGTGTAGTGAGAGAAGTAAGAAGTTCTGTGGGAAGCTGGAAGCAAACAAATGCATTATTAGTTTTTGAGGAGTGTTAAAGGTTGGGTAAACATCTGTGCCAGATTTCCTTTTAAGTACACCTCAACAAATGCATGGTGGCATTGCACAACTTACCAGAGCATGTAATGCCCATGGAATTCATTTGATTTTTTTTGATACACACTGATAATGTTGATTATGTTCCTGAAATCATAATGGGTCCAGAAGTAGAAGCTAACTGTACCTTGTAATTTAATGTGACCTTTCTCCATGCTTTCCATGCATTAATTTTCTGCAGTCAGAATGATTTGAATTTAAATATGAATAGGAAGACCCCTAGCAGTCATGAATAGTAAGTTCAAAGAGTTTTAAATGCTATGGGACTTCTGAAGAAAAATGTTAGTGCCAGCACCTGACAATTAAAATAATTGAGAACAGTTATTCCAGAAAGTGATTAACAGTGATGTTGGTTTTCAACAGGTAGCAAATGGAAAATGGAAGCGACCAAGTAAATATTGTCCATTAGATCTCTTCTCAGGGTAAGAAAACGCGTGACTTGATTCTGTGCGTTGCCAAAAAAAATCTGTCTTTTAGTTTTATTTCTCTGATTATTTAGACTTCAACTCTAGGATTAAGGGAAAATACCTGCTTGTCTGACTTTTACAGCAAATATTTCTGGTCCTATATATTTATTTACGTCTATTTCGGGAATCAGAGTTGCCTATTAATGGCTACAGTGCCTTGCGCTACTTAACATGAAATGTAGGAGGTGCTTATTTATTACTCAGATTTGAATTTGCAGTAGTCATTTTGTCTTTGCAGTGGCTTCAGTATGAGTAATATGCTTAAAGGTTGTGTTCACTTCAGGTGCCCTGTTCTGATTCCATAGAATCCTGCAGACGTAGTAGCTGTAAACATCTAAAGGCTGCGATAATACAGTCTTTTTTTTTTTTTTTTTTTCTAGAAATAAACAGAGAATGCACTTTGCTTTGAAGAGCTTATTACAGGAGGCACAGAACAACTTGAAAATATTTAAGGTAAACAATCAAAACTGTCTGCTTGCTTTTTTGTATTGGCTTGTAAACAATTTGACTTTAATGTCTGAAGAGTCAAGATCAAATCTGCATAATCAGCACTTTCACTACTGGGCCTCCACCATTAAGTAGAAGAAAACAGGAAAATTCTTAGATTTCAAGTTAAAATAGGTAAACAATACTCTCTGTAGCTATCCTTAGAAATCTCTCCCAGAACAAATCAGTCTAAATGAATAGCTAAGGAACAGCCAACAGAAAAGGACTTTTAAAGATGACCAAAGTTTTAAAACTTTGGAAGTGCTCGTTCAGAGGAAGATAAGAGAACTTTGTGTGTTGCTGCAGATATTGTTGGCAGTTACTGTTACAACGTTCATACAAGTCAAATGCACAGTGCGCTTCACTGATGAAGTAAGAAGGTTAGCTTTTTTGTATAGAAGTAATGTAGTAAAAAATAAAGCAGTGACTGATGGATTACGCAGATTTGTCAGATTAGTTCTAGAAAATAACTTTTGAATATTAATTCAAATAGTTACAAATTGAAATAATTACAAATTATTCTAATATTAAAAAAACTATTGGAGTTACTTACACTTGTACGAATTGTTCTGTTTTTTCTGTTAGAGGGCAGATAACTGTTGTACCTTTTCGGTCCCTTTTCTCCACCTTCCATTTTACAATTTGGCTTTTAAAAGGGGTAGTTTTACATGCCACGCTTTTTCACTATTGAACTTATTTAGACAGAAGCGATAGGAAACCATGCTAAGTATCAGTTCACTTTTGTTGTTCTGATTATTTAAAGTTGATTAAGTTAGGAAAGTATCTTTTCATTTAAATGGGCTTTTTGGTCCTAATTCAAAAGGTTTTACCGGCAGTATCTCAGGAAGTTTAAGATGACAACTTTGTAAGAGATTGTGCATGCATTTGTATGTAGACTTTTATACCAAGTCACTCTCTTCGGCACCATGTGTCTTAAAATATGAAATCTGGTATTTTGGTTAGCTGTGTATGAATAACTGGATTTGATGGAGTGTTTAAATCTTTATTTTCTGTTTACAGAATGGTGAACTAATTTATGGCTGTAAAGATGATCAGGACTCTGTTTCTGACTGGAACGAGCTTGCTCGTCACTTAAAACCTTTCTTTTTTCCTTCAAATGGGTTGGTCAGTGGACCACACTGTACAAGGACAATTGTTAAAGAATTAATCCATGTTATAACTATGGCACTACTAAGTAGTACTGATGCCTGCAGGGCAGGTGATATGAGGACAGTTCCCATTTCACAAGGAAGAAGCTACTGTGAAGCAAGTGCTTTTAATAAGGAGCTAGTAAGAAATGGTAAGAACTAATGTCTTGAGCACTGACAGTAATTAACTGTTATCACATATTGATTCATATTTTTGCCTCACTTGCTATTTAATACTGGTGTGAGAATTGAATTATGAGAAGATGAATTATGAGCTGGACAGCTGCTAGATAACTGTTTTATTGTGACCTCATAATGAACACTTCTAGCACTGCATCTCATGACAGGGATTAAAGTCATTTCAGAAGGCAGTAGGGTAAAAATGAAAGAAAATACCTGTTCAAGCTGATAACCGTGATTTGTATTTTAAATGATTGGTTAATTTTTATTTTGTATGTGAAGAAGTCTTGCGCTTTCTCTGATTACACGTCGCCTGTTTCTTACCTTCCCCTGCTCCCCAACTATGGTATATCTGTCTGTCTTTTCTTTTCCTACTCCATTTCTGGTAATGAGAAGGTACAAATATGGGACGGAAAAGAAATGGAAAATGAGGGCTGGAAAACTGAAAATCATGTTAATTCCTCAGTGCTTAAGTTTTGCAAAGCTTGAATTGTTCAAGATGCTGCTTGTTACTCTAATTTATACAAATGGCTCATTTCTTAAATATGCTTTTGAGGAGAGTTCTTTTTCATTGATGATTTCGATTTTTGCTGTATTGTGTGGAGAAAGAGCTGTTTTAAAAAAGATAGCAAACACAAATAAACAGATTTGTTTAGACTATATAAAAAAAAAAAAGACCCAATATCTGAAATGCTAAATCAGTTTTGTCAGCAGTTCATACTGTTGAAACCTAATTTGTGGTGGGTTCACACTCATATGAGAAATTTGTCTTTTAGACTCGCAGTAGAGTGCAATGGAGTTTTTTTTTTCTTTTTTCTTTTGAGTAATTTGTAGAGCTGTATACTAAGTGTTGTATTCTACAGTCAAGTAAGTGGAGTTTAAATATGCAAGTAAGCACACAGCACGTTATTGTTCAGAAACTGAAGCTTTTTTTTTTCTTTGACCAATTTGAAGAATATTTGGGTTTGCTTTGTGAAAAAGCACATGTAATGGCACAGTGAAGCAAAACAAAGACACTCATGCCTGCCTTATTTGAATATGTTTTTTCTTATAGGGAAGCATAAATTGGAAAGCTCTGGCTTACCGAGGGGTTGTCTCCTTTATAAAACCCTTCAGGCTCAGATGCTTGACATGCTGGATATTGAAGGACTCTATCCTTTGTACAATAGAGTTGAACAGTACTTAGAGGAATTTCCTGAAGAGAGGTAAGATTCGATGGCTTTTTTTGGTTCTGATTAAGTAGATACATGGACAAGATTGACTCTATGCAAATACAGCCATGTTTTCATCCTCTTTTCTTCCTTATGGTATGCCGTATTCTGACTTTCTAACTTGAAATACCACTTGATGTAGAAAATGAGTTTGATGTCAGTCACTTGACATTGATGATGTGGATTTTTAAGTGATGATTATGCCAACTTCACAACAGGGAATGGGAGAAAATGCATTGTTCCTTAATAGTGGAGGCCTGGGGGACATGTTGGAGGGAAGACAGTAAAATGGACAGCAGGTTTCCGTCGCCTTTAGCACTTGCAGAAATAGGACTATGTCTGCAGTAATAATGATGTTTTTACAGTCATTCTCAAGTCTTTATTGGCCTACTACCTGTCCTTTAAAACCCTGAATTTGAT